ATTTTTTATAAAATATTGTGTGTAATATGAACATATCATATGTCATTTATTTAGAAAGTAACATTGAAGTTGAATTTTTTTTGAAGGATGAAAACCCTTATCCTGACCGTTAAAAAGTTATGGAAAAATTTTCTTAAAGCAAGTGGCAGGAGAGTCCGAGGGATCAGAGGTAGAGGTAGTAGAAGACCGACAGAGGTGGTCCGAGACAACGGAACAGAGCCGATCATGCCGCAATAGCAAGAGCGGAAAGATCAACTAATATACAGGCAAGGAATATAAAGGATTTTTATGAAAATACTGTGTACTAGTATACATTATAATTAATTATAAGGAAAACTGTACACCTGTCCACCTGCAAACCTTTACAAAAATATATGACCCAGATAAAAACAAAATTACAATTCTGTTATTTCTTTGTTGAATAAAGAGGTAAATTTTTTCTAAGAGGACTTTTTTTCACAATATTTTCTTATGTAATACATGTAATATAAATCTAAGATTTTTCTGTAAACTATACTTAGTGCTATTCTTTTTATACAGGAACGCATAGATAATTTCCCTGAAGACGATCTGAGGGGATTACTTCGCACATTTGTAGAAAGACCTCCCTCTTTTGTCTTTGATGTACTCGAAGCAGGAAGCAGGGCACAACAGGGTGGATTTCACCCACTTCCAGAGAATGGGTCTCCAGAATGGTGTATTTGCTCCAATTGTCGAGACATGCCTACAGCAGATGAACGCTTATGCTGTGGTCAAGTATCAGAGAATGTTTTTCAAGAATGAGAGTAAGTAAATACAGTTTTCCAGCTTGTTAACAGTGCTCTGAAGCAACGTTTCTTTATGCTTACAGATTACCAGTTCACATATTGTTTACTTATTCCAGGATTTTGATCTTGTTGTTCTGGACGAGTTAATACTACATGTAGGCATACAGGCAGGATGTTCTGGCCATGCCAAATGATGGGGACTAGTGCCAGGCAAATCGATTTTTCATATACTACTGACTGTTTTAGATGAATAACTAAATGCATTGGAAAACCAATCCCTAGGGGATCCGGGTTAGAATAGGTCCTCAGTACCCCCTTGCTTGTCGTAAGAGGCGACTAAAAGGGGCGGTCCTTCGGATGAGACCGTATAAACCGAGGCCCCGTGTCACAGCAGGTGTGGCACGATAGAGACCCCTCCCTGCTCAATGGCCCTGAGTGCCGAGCATAGGCCCAAATTTGCAGCCCTTCACCGGTAATGGTGACGTCTCCATATCAGTGAAATATCCTGTAGAGGGACGTAAAACAGTAAACAATCAATCAATCAATCGGAAAACCAACTGAATGAGCATCACTTTTGTGAAAGTATAGCTACGTAGGGACAATTTAAAACATTGTGCAGTTATTCGTTTGTTTGCCTTGCCCTTGAACTTTGTGGTTAAATTTAACATTTCATTTGTTGACCTAAAATCGGAGCCCACGTGACGTTAGAGGGTCACATGATAAAAAAATTCCGAGGTGAATAGCAATGGACATACTCCTCAAGATAACATAAAGCTATTTTAACTAGAGTGTCTTGCTGAAAAATAAAGTAGTTAAACATTAATTGTATCGTTTTCGGTGACTTTTTATAGAAAATGTTGCCTTAACTGTACTGCGATGTCGAATGGCTAAATTCAAATAAATCAAAGAAACCGTAAATACCAATACCATAGACGATGACTCCGACTTATGTGAAAGAAAAAGAAAGAAGATTCATTTATTTCTTTTATTTAATTCCGTTCCGTTTTAGAGATTTATTTATCTTTCATTTCTATGACAAATAAGAATATCAACACAGATGTACAGGAAGTTTCCACATAGCGCTTGTCAGCTTGCTAGCATGAACAACATTTGGTAGCATTGTTTGGGCTTGATCAATCCCATCAATGATAATGGAAAGGTATTTCTAAGGATGTGCTTTGGCCTTACTGATGTGTTTATAGTAGTTCTGTCTTTCCTGGCTGTATACAAACAAGTTCATATATGAAAGAGATGAAGTTTTATTTTTAAAACCGGAATCATTTTCTTGATTCTTTTTGGTTCTGATTGATGAAAAATTTGTTTTCATCTTCACTTACTTTTGTTTCTTTAAATGAACATATCTTTTTGCCATCAGAAGCTTCCTTTCTTCATTATTTCTTGTCTGTCCTAGTTTTGTTTTGATGTACATGCAAGTGTCGCATTTGGAAAATCTTGATTTCTATAAAAGATGAATAAAATAAATATTTAAAAATAAATAAACACACTTACTTATCTCATCCTCACCCACCAAAATCCACACACTATCATCCATTTTGAGACACCTTCGTCCATTGGAGGGGGGGGGGGGGTACAAAACCCCCTTCATTTTTGTACGTCTGTAGAGGGAGAAAGGGAGAGGGATTTCATTAGATACAAGTGATATGTTGTTTGAGAAGATTTACTTTTTGCATTTGATTTAATATTTGCCTGTACACCTCTAGAGATTTGACTCCCCTGTGATGTCTTTGTTATCTTGTTTTCATTGCTTAAGCTTTGGACTTCAGTGTCACACCGCTATCTTTTCACCATTTGTGTAAATACTAGAGTTGACAATAATTCTTAAAGGACAATTCTAAGTATCATATTGATCTTAATTTAAGTACACGCAAGACAAAAAAATAAACAAATTTTACAACATAATGCTCTTTTGATACAGTGAATAGGCCTCAAAGGTTATAAATACCTCATCAAAATTATTTTTAACAAAGTTCTGAGGAGATTTGAATTTTTACCCCCTCTTTGATGTCATTTACATATTTAAAATTTTAAATACTCACTCTTGGAGGACTGTATTCCATGGATAGCGGGACATGCTTTATTCATCTTGGTTATAAAAACCTGTAAAAAAAATGCTTTATATATTTCTGATTGTGAAAATACACATGTACATGTAAAGTTTATATGCAATACATAACTTACACAATATTACAAAAGAACCAAATGCTCATATGAGTACCATTGCTTATATCTAAGTAAAACTTTGATTGTCCATTGTGGCCCCATACTATACCTTGGCATTATGATTTGAAGAATGTTGAATCTACATAATGTAATGTAAGAAAGCTTTCACATAAGTTTCATCTTTTTAGCCCAGTGGTTCTTGAGATGAAAAAATAACTATAATGCTAACCCATTTTTCATCATTTCTTAGTTATCTCCCCTTTGCAGAGGTTGTGGCCCTTAATTTGAAAAAAAAATAAACTTGAATTCCCTTTACTCAAGAATACTCTTAAATCAACTATACCTGAGAATGTTTGCATATATGTTTGACCTTTCCTTGCCCAGTGGTTCTTGAGAAGAGAATTTTTAAAATATATGCATTATTTTTTCACAAATTCCTAATTTAATTATCTCCCCTTGAAAATGGGTGTGGCCCTTCATTCAAACAAACTTGAATCCCTTCAACCAAGATATTATTTGGCAAGCTTGGTTAAAATTAGCCAAGTGGTTGCTTGAGAAGAAAATGAGAATGTAAAAAGTTTAATTACAGAAAGACCAGTGTCAGGCAGAGAGCTAGACAGACGGACGCTGAACAAAATGTTATCAGAAAACCTCACTTTATCCTTCGCTCAGGCGTTTTAAAAATACCATATATGAGTATTCTAAGGCACAAATTGAAACATATTTTAATGCCCTAGTTTTCATGAAAACACATGCAGACCTCCCTCTTTAGATTCTTATAACTATAAATATCGTGTTTTAACTTCATTCTAGAGTCATGAGAATTGGTCAAACTTGAATCTTTACTACATGAGGATGCTTCTGTGTGAATAATATGATTCTGAGATTTCCCTTTTTTCCCATCTCTGCACATCCTGGGGTTGTTTGCATTTAAATTTCACCAAGCAAACCTTGAACCTTTTTAGAAAAATCATTATAAGTTTATTTTAACATATTTAAATATAAAACTTGGTTTCCCTATTGTGGTCCTGTCCTATCCCCAGGGGTCATAATTTAAACAATTTAGAATTAACACTATCTGAGGAGCATGCTTCCATGCTTAAGTTTTAATTAATTTTCTGGTTCAGTGGTCCATGAGAAGTTCAAAATTGAAAAGTTCACCGACGGACAGATGATCAAAACAGCTCACTTTCAGCTCAGGTGAGCTAAAAGCAATATTCCTTGCATGAAGTAATTACCATATCGGAATTAAATAAAAGAAATATTCTTACTATAAGCTATATATGCAACTTGATTGCCAGGAATTCTTCACATAAATTTGTTAATTAACAGGTGAAATACTCAAATAAAAAAAAAATAGTAAACATCATAGTTAACATCATAAATCAAAACCCATTATTATACCTCATATAAATAAACACAAGTAAAAAGGAATCTGATTGGCTGAAGCAGTCACGTGACCGTCGTGTTCGCCCTGCAACAAAACTTCGTGTTTTCCGCATTCGGTTCACCTCGCATGACTACGCTATCCTACATCTAGCAGGGATCACTTTGGGCTGCGCCCTTGCGCCATTGACGCGGTAGTTTTCAGAATGGCGCATTAGATCTGTCAAAAGGGGTCATCTTGGCGCATCGTTTACTGACAGGGCGCATACAAAGTATATCTCAAGGGCCACTTCATTGTGATTATGTATACAGCTTAATGAAATAATTTCCTGGGTGAAAAAAAAATTATTAAAAAAAAAAAGATCGTTCGATCGTTCTTTTTTTTCAGTCGGGTTCAACATTCCTTTTATATATAGGGAAAACTTCCGAGAAAAATAACACCGAGGAGTCTCGAATATTTAATTATTAACTTGAACGTTAAATGTTCGTATCTCTGCACGTAGCCACCGAAAATCCGTAAGCCAGATGTGAAATTAATAGTAAAATAACATTAAGCCTATAATGTTAATTTAAAAAATCGTTTATTAACTTATACGAATGCAAATAGATCGCATTTCCAACTGCAGTAATACACATAATGGTACGAATTAATACATTAACATCAACATGCCGGCTAAGAAAATTAAAGGGCCATCGGACCCAAAACAACCACGTCTTTCCTTTTTATCAATTACCACAACAACACCAGAAAGTTCTACAAGCTCTGATGTTTCTAAAGTAACAGAAACGGATGTAACGGAACAACCTGAGCGCCACTTCCAGGGTAAGTGGCTTGCCCTACACCCATGGCTCGAGTACGACTCCGATAGCAGTAAAATGTTTTGCAGAGAGTGCAAAAAATACGGAATGAACAACATCTTTACTGCAGGCACAGATAACTACCGAACTAGCACACTTACTCGACATGTGACAAGCAAAGATCACCAGAGAGCAATACTTGCCCCAGAAGAACAAGGACACTTAAAGAAGTCTATAGAAAAAGCCCACAATAAGCAAGAAAAAGCAGTGATCGTCGCCATGAAAGCGGTTTATTGGCTGGCTAAAGAGGGGATAGCCTTATCTAAGTACTCAAGTTTTATCAGATTTCTGAAGGATTTAGGAGTTCCCGATATTGATGCCCTTGATGTAAACAAGCATGTGGATTACACCTCTTACAATACAGCCAACGACTTACTGAAATCCATGTCCAACGTCATAGACCAGGAAATTACTGATAAACTGCAAAAGTCACCAACAGTTACGATCATGACAGATGAAAGCACGGATATCGCTAATCATCACAAGCTGTGTATTTCAGCTCGTGTTGTTGATCCTATCAGTCTCCAGGTAAGTTTAAAAATTTTAATTTTAGTATCTTGGAAATAAACATAAACCTCTATAGACTATCGATAAATTGTGTGATTTTTTTTGGCAGCCATCAACCTTTTTTCTCAGCGATGTCAGGATAACGAATGGGACAGGAAAGGGGATTTTTAATGCCATTAAAGACCACCTTGACAGTCGAGGAGTGGCAGTGAAGAAAGTTATGGGACTGGGTACTGATGGGGCTTCTACCATGACAGGTACTAAGGAGGGTTTGACCGGTCACTTCCTTCGTGAGAATCCCCACATGAAGAACAACCACTGTGCTGCACATCGACTTGCACTTTGCTCTGAACAGGCAGCTAAAGGTGTTCCTGGAATGGTTAAATTCCAGCAAAGCCTTGAGACTCTCTTTTATCACTTCAAAAAGTCTCCCACCAAAGCTGATAAACTTGAAGCAATCCAAAACCTGTTGAATGAGCCATCTGTCAAATATCGTGAGGTCCATCAGGTATAATCATTTAATAATATTATGGTTCATGTTTTGTTTTAAAATTTTTAGTGGATTAAAGACTAATAAAAGACTAGTTTTGCCAGCTATATCAAAATCTGACATCATGTCATTCATGTGCATATATGTGTTTTGATTTTAATAAAGATTAAATTTTTCTTTAGGTCAGATGGCTGAGTTTCTATGAAGCTCTTGACTCAGTATATAGAACCCTGGACTCTTTGTTGTCCTACTGCTCCTCAGACACTAAAGATCCCAAAGTTGTAGGTCTGAGGAAGAAAGTTGGAAGCGAGATATTCATCAGCTTAACATATGCCATGATGGACATTCTCCAGCCTATCATGAAGCTGAGTCTTGTGTTCCAGAAGAAAGACTTGGACCTTGGAGTTGTAAAGGTAAATTTATCTAAAACTGAAATTAATATTTTGTATTCAATTTTTGTGGTGAATATGAAATGGAATCATAATTGTTTTGTTTTATTTTTCTTCAACAGGAACAATAGGTAAATTGAATTTTCCTCCCCACAATGCTCATATATTTTTGTACACCTAGTCAAACTATTATTCACTAGCATAGCATGTATTAATTGGTGTATGGTTTTATGTCTGTAGATAGATGTTGTGAATTTTAAAAAGATGGATCTGCTAACTGCACTAAATTGCTCTATACGCTTACTGCTATACTACTATTTTGCTAGCAACAGCTTTTCATCACTGCACTACATGTGTATTTTACTAACCTTGTCTAAGGTAATGCATGATCTTACCACCTTTTTCATTGTGTATTGATTCAGTGTCTCATAAATTTCTTAAACATTTTTAAATAGTATCAAAACTTGAAGCTATAAGCATATCATATCAGTTACTATAGGTAAATTACAATTAAGTAGTAAGGTAATGCATGATCTTACCACCTTTTTCATTGTGTATTGATTCAGTGTCTCATAAATTTCTTAAACATTTTTAAATAGTATCAAAACTTGAAGCTACAAGCATATCATATCAGTTACTATAGGTAAATTACAATTAAAATCTACAATTACAAATATTTCAGATTTCTATCGATGAATGCATTCAAAGTCTTACTCATATCAAGACATGCCATAACCCCCTGGAAAAGCCCACCTATCTTCAAAGGTTACCCATAGATTTGAATGATGGATGCTTCAAGGGGCACCATTCAGTATCTAAACTGCACTGTGAGACAGAGTTCACAGGAGTGAAAAACAAGTTCATTGATGCAGTTATTGGGAACATTAAACAAAGGTGAAAGTGCATTACAATAAAAATTGAGTGAATGGGAATTTTATTTATTATGGTAATTTCTTGTAAATATCATTAATAACTAGGAAGACTTTTCGTTTTATATATAGGTTTCCGGAAACAGATTTCCTTTGTTATTTTTCTTTTCTGGCTTTGAGACCTGTAACATTTCTCGATGATGATGGATTGGCTGACTGGGGGAACTCAGAAATAAAGAGCCTTGCTGAGTTTTATGGCACTGAGCAGTCACACAGTTTCAAGGATCCTGAAACTAATTTGCAGAAAACAGTTATCTCTGAGCCACTCATTGACAAAGAAGAAACAATGGTATCTATAATTATATAATATTATGATAATTAAAGTAAAATAATATCACACTGTAACTCAATGCATTAATCGTTGGAGAGTGTTATTTGCATGTGCATTGATTTTCAATATTTCAGACGGAATGGTTGACTCTGAAGAAAATAGTTAAAGCCCAGCAGTATCCCAGACCTTCCATGGCTTCACTATGGTCCCTCATATGCCAGTATCATTCGGAGCAGTTCCCCAACTTGAGAAGATTAGCTGCCATAGCTCTTGGCCACCCTATCCATACAGCAGACTGTGAACGCTCTTTCAGTTCGCAAAATCTTGTAACCACTAAGTTGAGATGTCGCCTTTCGGGTGAACATATTGACGAACTTATGCGAGTCATGTTGGAGGGACCATGCCTTCAAAATTTTGATTTTGCTTCAGCCTTAACTGACTGGAGAAATGCTAAATGCAGAATCATTTTCAACAAATAAATTTCATGAATGATACCCTCTAAAATGTTTTCATTTACAGTTTAAAACACCCCAAAACCCATTTTTTCCCGGGGGGCTTCGCCCCCCTGGACCCCCTACCGGGGCGTTGCCCCTGGACCCCAATGGGGGCCAAATGCGGCCCCCATACCCCCGGCATATGGCCCATGGATTTTCATGGTGATGGGCCAATGGCCCATCACCATGAAAATCCAGAGTGATCCCTGATCTAGATGTAATCAACTGAGGTGTACAGAACGTGTTTCACGTCGTGTTCCCCGATTGTGACGTCACAATGCGGCAAATGCGATGATTTACTAGTATACTGAATTTTATTGTTTAAATCTTTGAATAATTATGTCGATATAAAATCTTAAAGTATAAATAGTTAGAAAAAGTGTTTCCATGAGTGGGGAATGAATGTTACTACACTGCAGTGTGTAAATCAGAATGACTTGTCATGAAGGGTATTTTTTATGAAACGCTTGTGGTGTTACTTCCACCTATTGGTAATTCATTTTGTTCTCATCAAATGTTAACTTTATTTATTGGATTCTCTTTATATCCTCTGCATTGTGCTTGATTCGGTATAATAAAATAATTATTGCATGAATGTTTGGGAGACATGAAGATTTCTTCGCCCATGAAAAATCATATTCCCCTCGGGCGTTGCCCGCGGGGAATATGATTTTTCATGGGCGAAGAAATCTTCATGTCTCCTGAACATTCATGCAATAATTGTATAATATCCATTCAACATCTTCTAATTTATTATCATTATAATTTATAAACTGTTTTATTGTTGCTATATCTTTTCGTCCGTCGTGCGTCGTTCGTTAACATTTGAACATTTTCATCTTTTTCTCTGCAACCACTGAACCAATTATAAACAAATTTGGCACAAAGCATCTATGGGTGAAGGGGAACAAAAATTGTGAATTTCATGATCCTGCCCCCCTGGGGCCTTAGGGGTGGGGCCAAAACCACTAAAATTAATGCAATCCTTTAAAATATTCTTTTTGCTACTGGACATCAAGCAGTCAAACTGTTTGCATGATTGAATCACCAATGAGTCTTCTACTAAAATTGTGAAATTCATGGCCCTAGGGTCTGGGGTTCTAGCGCTAGGGCGGGGCTAAATAAGGAGTTAGTGAAATGTATTATTTTTTTCACAATCTTCTTCTCTCCTCCTGGGTATTAAATAAACCAACTAAGTACATAGTTAAGATAAGCAAGAGTGCCTCTACCAAAGTTGTGAATTTTATGGGCCCAGGGTCAGGGGTTCTGGCGTTAGGGCGGGGCTCTATTGATTATATAATGAAAATGCATGAATTCATTGAAAATCTTCTTCTATGCTCCTGGGTATTAAATAAACCAGGTACATAGTTATGATGAGCAAGAGAGCCTCTACCAAAATTGTGAATTTTATGGCCCAGGGTCAGGGGTTCTGGTGTTAGGACGGGGCTCTAATGATTATATAGTGAAATGCATGATTTCTTTGAACATCTTATCCTTTGCTCCTGGTTGTCGTGGCCTTCAACTCGACATTTAGATATATCGACGACGTATTGTCAATTAATAATGATAATTTCCATTCCTACGTCGACACGATATATCCTGGTGAGCTTGAGATAAAAGATACTACAGAGTCCGACACTTCTGCTTCATACTTGGATATTTTACTTGAAAAAGACAATAATGGTTATCTAACAACCAAGCTGTTTGATAAACGTGATGACTTTAACTTTTCTATCGTCAACTTCCCTTACTTATGCAGCAATATACCTTCATCACCTGCATACGGAGTATTAATATCTCAGTTGATTCGATATGCTAGAGCATGCTCTACGTATGAACAATTTCTTAAACGAGGTAAATTATTGACAAGCAAGTTGATGAAACAAGAATATCAACAGTCTCGTTTAAAGTCATCATTTCGTAAATTCTGATGTTTCGGAAGCCCGTGTTTGCTCTGCTCTTATTTTGTATATTTGTTTAATGGACGTTGAGATTGAATACTGTTCGTTATTTCCATATCCTTTTCTTAAAGTCATCATCTCGTAAATTCTATGGTCGATACAATGACCTTGTCAGCAAATACAATTTATCATTGAATGGTATGCTGAAAGACGTTTTTCATACCAATTGTTAGTCAAATATTTATACACTGAATTGACCACGGATTTTTTCCGTTACTTCCTGATCATGACAAAGAGCGCACAGTGGGTGTGACTGGTCGGCAGGGGATGCTCACTCCTCCATGACACCTGATTCCACCTCTGATGTTTTGGAGGTCCGTGTTTGCTCCGCTCTTATTTTGTTTATTTGTTTAATGGACGTTGAGATTGAATACTGTTCGTTATTTCCATATCCTTCTTCCGCCCATATACCTCATCCTGGTTCACAACAAGCTCACCTGTGTTGCTTATTGTGTTGGTATCGAAAACGTTTGGGGCATTGCAAATCTAAATATCGTAGACACCATCATCAATTTTTGCTGTAGGGTTTTTCGGATTTTTTTTTGCTATTCTTTGATGATGCCCAGCTTATTTTGTGATGATGTCCACGTACTTTTACGTACTTTCTACTCACTTTTTGTATTATGTTCCTACAACTTTCACCCCGTGGGGATGCGGGTTAGAATAGGTCCTCAGTACCCCCTTGCTTGTCGTAAAAGGTGACTAAATGGGGCGGTCTTTCGGATGAGACCGAATAAACCGAGGCCCCGTGTCACAGCAGGTGTGGCACGATAAAGATCCCTCCCTGCTCAATGGCCCTGAGTGCCGAGCATAGGCCCAAATTTGCAGCCCTTCACTGGCATATTCTGGAGATGGACGTTAAACAGTATACAATCAATCAGTCCTACAATTTCCAAGTTTTTGTCGATTGAATTTCTCTGTTTGAATTTCATTTTTCTATTTGATGCCATTTTCAGAAGCAAACTGCTTTAAAAATTGGCCAACATTAGAAGGCAAAAACCCTGCCTTGTTTGTACTGCTGTATTTCTTTTCTAACATGTTCGCCTTTCATTTCTTTTTATTCAAGATTTCTTCGCGCTTGAGTATGTTTCCAATTTCCTAATGGTGTTATTTGGTTTTTGAAGAATTTTGAACAAGTTGGATAGGTTTGGGTTTGCGAGACTTTGGTGATGAACCTTACTGTTGCTGAAGTACATTTTTGGATATTTATGTATGACATGAGTGTAGATTAGATATCTTGGATGGGTCAGAGGTATTTGGAGGGGTTTGGAAGGGAACATAGTCTGCAAACTTTTGAATTAAGTGGCCCCAGGGTCAGTGGTTCTTTTTTAAGATGGGTGCACAACTAACATTACAAAGTGAAATACAATATCTCTTTGTTACGCTGATCTACCTCTTGGTATCAAGTTAAGTAAACATGCTAAATGTATAATTATGATAAGCAATGATGCCTTTCCAAAATATTGAAATTTTTGGCCTCTGGTTTAAAACACGAATTAAATTCAATTGTTGAAAAGTTGTTTGAGATACTCAGGTGACCTATAAGGCCCAGGGGCCTCTTGTATCAAGAACAAACCTGTTATGCTGTATTTTATGTTTGACATTTTGTAAACATACCTATGTATTTTTGGTTGTTGACGCCAAACGCTCCCGGTGCATCTCTTTTTATGCAAAATCTTTGACGTGAAAAGAAGAAAACACTTGCTGTGGCCTTCAACTCGACATTTAGATATATCGACGACGTACTGTCAATTAATAATGATAATTTCCATTCGTCGACACGATATATCCCGGTGAGCTTGAGATAAAAGATGCCACAAAGTCCGACACTTCTGCTTTATGCTTGGATGTTTTGCTTGAGGGGGACACTGATAGTAATCTGCGTGTGAACAGTTTCTTAAACGGGGTGGATTGTTGACAGGCAGGTTTATAAAGCGGGCGTATCAACAGTTTCGTTTAAAATCATCATTTCGTAAATTCTATGGTCGATGCTATGACCTTGTCAGCAGATGCAATTTGTCATTGAGTGAAGTGCTGACTGACGTTTTTCATGCCAATTGTTGGTCCATTGTTTGTGCACTGAGTTGACCACGGATTTTTTCCGTTGTATCCTGATTGTGACGGCGGGTTTGACCGGTCGGCAGGGGATGCTCACTCCTCCATGGCACCTGATCCCACCTCCGATGTTTCTGAGGTCCGTGTTTGCTCTGCTCTTAGTTTGTATATTTGTTAAATGGACGTTGAGATTGAATACTGTTCGTTATTTCCATATCCTTCTTCCTGTCTCTTCTGGACACACCGACAAACTCTTGTTTCAGCGGACTTGCAGGATACTGTCTAAACCGCAACAGAGGAATTTTCACAAATGGCAGAATGAATTCTCTGCTAAAATGTCAAGCATAAGTACTCGTCTACTATTTTTCTTAAACGAGTTATCATGTTTATTGTTTATCTTAATAACTGACATCACTTTCACTAGAATTTGAAATAGTACAGAAAAAGAGGATTTAATTTAAAGATCGCTTATTTTATCTCTTTGGAATATGCCGATGTTTGTCATTCTGTTGTATGTCGTCCGTTATATTGTTCTCAGCTGCCATGTATCAGGATTATGCTTTGAATCGACGTTATGCGAAACGTTTCCCGAATTTACGGGACAATTTTAATGACGTAACTACGTAACATGATGTTAATTGTTCCACACGTCAGATTTATCTCCCCAAGTGTGTTGAACGTCTTTAATTGTACTGGATATTTCTGGAACCATTCCCCTTACAATATGGGGTGTCGAGACTGAAGCCTTACTGGTTTGAACTTAGAGCAAAGGTAGACAAAAGTACTGAAAGGCAGAGATTTTTTACTGGGTGGTAAATTCCAGGTGAGGGAGGGGCTTATTTTGTACAGGTTTGAATGCCTTACGGGGTAGCAGTCTACCTGTGGTCATCTGTCTCCTAATCATCATACACAGGAAGTGATTTAATACACAGTAAAATACCCAGAAGTCAAACTTTACCTGTGTTAGGG